GGGGGGGGGGATACTACTGCCCCCCCCCTCCAGCGGCTCACCTCCTCAGTGCTGGGGGCGGTGTTACAGCAGCCCAGAAGGTTCACCTCTTCTGTGCTGGGGGCAGTTCTGCTCTCCTTTAAATTTCAAATCCTTCCAGCCCACCGTAATTAAGTGGCAAGTATAAGTCTGGGGAGTAGAGTAATTTTATTTTAGTTTTTCAGGAAGGCAGCTTATGTCAACATATCCAGGAAATCTAAGAAGATTAGGAGCTGTGTAAATGTGGAATATAATGTGAGCTAAGGAATCTAGTCTGGCTTTGAACATCCTTTGTATTTGTGCCCTTTATTTTGAAAGATTTCAGTTAATACCAGAAGTGTTATTTTTTGAGTCTACAGATTAATTTTGTTGGTTACAATACAGTTATTTTAAAACTCCTTAGCTAAATTGGAAATTATATTGCTATTTAAGCAGGTGAGTGTGTGCTATATTCTTTGACACATAACTGTGCATAATTAGCACTAGTGCCATTTAAGATATATTTCTGCTGTCTTCCTACTTCGTATACATTTATATAGTGCAGAGTCAGACCTATTTGCTCACTTAGCACACAGGTTTTACTCTGTTCTTTGGACCAGTCCTGAGACTGGAAAATTTGTAGCTCACAGAACACTGTTCTGAGCAGTACCTGTCCTTGAGGTCTTATGAAGAGAAATAATGTATTAGTTCTTCCAGCCTTAAGATATTAGGGCTGAGAATCCTGAAAAATCTAGATAAAAAGCTAATGGAAAGGTTTCTTTTTTAAATGGCTAGAATATAATTGATACAACTTCAAAATATATTTGGCAGTGGTTAATAAAGATAGTTTCCTAGGGTTGAGGATATAGCTCATTGCTAGACCCCTTGCTAAGCATCTGCAAGGCTTTGGATTTGATCCTTAGCATAGCAAAAAAAATACATAAATAAAATAAATTTAAATTTTCAAAAATAAAGATAATCTTATCTAATTCTGTTTTGTAAAAGTGATTTAAAGTTATCAATATTTAGTGGTTTTCAGTAGATAGCTAATTGTAATGTTCTTTAGGCTTTCTAGGTCCTCGAAAGAATGAAATCTCCCAGCTTGTGGATCCTTCATATTTGTCATTTCCTCTCTGAAAATAAAATTTATTACAAAGAAGTTGAGGGTTACAAATGACCTATCAAAGTTTTGTACATTTTCTTTGTTTTGTGTATTTTTTTTTTTTGGTACCGAGGATCGAACTCCGGTCCTTGCACTTGCAAGGCAGGCAGCACAACCACTGAGCTAAATCCTCAGCCCTGTACATCTTCTTATTTCCTAAAATTTTCTCTCCTCTGTGCCAAACTATAGATCTTTTATAGTTAGAGGCCTTGTTCTAATTATAGTTAAGAAATTCAGAAGGACAGGTTCATTCATAAAGCTCAAGAGAATCAGTAGTGTTTTTTCCCCTCTAAATTGTTCTTTTGGGGGCCGGGGATTTAGCTCAGTGGTTCCGCTGCCTGCCTTGCAAGTGCAAAGTCCCGAGTTCGATCCCCAGTACCAACAATATAAATAAATGAAATAAATTGTTTTTTTGCTTTTTATCACCCTTAAAAGTAAAGATTAGTGAGCTTTAGTGAGATATTATTTATATAGACTAATAAAATTTACCAATTTTAAATATGTAATACTATGAGTTTTTACGAATATATGCAGTAAAAAAAACACACACCAATATTACTTGGGCCAGGGATTTAGCTCAGTGGTGCTGTGCCTGCCTGGTAAGCACAAGGTTCTGAGTTCAATTCCTAGTATCAAAAAAAGAAAAACAAATACATGCAGTCTGACAGACATGCCATAATCACAGTATAGAATTATTTCCATTATCCCTAAAAGTCCTCCCGTGCCCCTTTGCTGTCAGTCTCGTTCCCACTTCCTAGCAACCACAAATCTACATATTTTCTGTTCTTACAATTATTTTTTCTTTAGTATTTTACATAAATGGGTTCATGGAATACATTTTTTGTGCCTGGTTTATTTTATTTACCATGCTTTTGAGATTCATTAGCATTGTTTTGTATTGATTATTCCTTTTTAGATACTTTTTCTCATATTTCCTATACATATTTGAACATATGGAACATAATTATAATAGCATTTTAAGCTGGATGTGTTGCACGCCTGTAATCCTAGCACTTTGGGAGGCTGAGGCAGGAAGATTTCTAAGTTTGAGCTAAGCTTCGGCTAGTGACTTAATGATACCCTGTCTCAAAATTTTAAAAAGGACTGAGGATGTAGCTCAGTGTAAAGGTCCTGAGTTCAATGCATAGTACTTTTCCCCCACTCAAAAAAGGCATTTTTAATATCCTTGTCTGCTAATACTCTGTCATTTCTAGTTTGTTTCTATTGGTTGACTTTTTGCCTGGTTTTAAGGTCTTATTTTCCCATTTGTTTTAATGCTTCCAGTTTTTTAAATTAAGTGTTGGACATCGTAAATTTGTTGTGTTCTGGGCCATGTTGAATGCTAGACTAGGTAATGTTGGAGTTTGTTCCTAAAATCAGTTGAATCTTTTTGAGACTTTCATTTAAGGTTTGTTGGAGTTGCCCAAAACCAATTTTTTGTCTAGGGTTAATTTAGTTCCACTACTAAGGTGTTGCCCTTTGGAGGACTGTTTTAGGTGTATTATAAAAGCTGACCATTTTGTTGGGTAAAAACACAAACTGTCCTCAACTCTGCACGAGTGCCAGAAAGTGTTCGGTCCACTGTTTTCTGATAGATCTTTCCCAGGCCTCTAATAGTTTCTTCTCACGTGGATGACACTGCTCTCCTCAAGGCTGAGGGTACTCTGCCGATCCCCGAGGTGTGCTCTGCTTCTGCCTCCTCTCCTCCCTCTTCCTGTACACTGCCAACAGAGTCCAGCCACTTTGGTTTCCCCAACTCTGGTCCCATCTGTCAGCCCTCAACTCCTCAGCTGACAACACTGGGGCCCCCTTCCCTCTGCAGCAGCCGGAAGGGCCACTCTTGGATTCCCCTCTGTCAGACGGCACTGTCCTGTATTGCCTCTGATTCAGTGTCTGAAAATCATTGTGTTACAATTTCTGTCCAGTTTTCTATTGTTTACAAAAGCAAGGTAAATGCAGCCTCTGGTACTCTACCATATCTAGAAGTAGGAGTCCCCTTTTTCTTAAGAGTAAGCACGTATTGATATTTCTTGGGAAAAATTGGGATACTTGTCTCATCAGTTCTCAGCATACTTAAATATACTTTAATATCTGTTCTTATTCTTTGTAAGACATACAGCATAGGTGATGATCCTTGGTGTTCATGATAATTAGGCTAATCTAAGGTTTTTCTGTGATCAACTTGAAATTATACAAAGAGAGTATTGATTTGGGGTTATTTGTAGCCAGTTTTTATCTAGTGTGGCATCCCATGAATGATGGCTATGTTAGTGTTCTAATTCTGAGGACATTTGTTAGTTATCTGTATGTCTGATTGGTTGATTAATTTGTCATATGAACTATATCATCCTTGGACTTATACGAATGTCTGACTTTTTCATATGTGTAGGAAAATTACTTCCGTCTCTTTTATTCATAAGTATTTGTGGTTGAGAAGATCGTGAAACAGTTCTTAGCCCTTTGCAAGGTGATCTTTTGGATCTGTTGGCTGGGCAGTGCATAACAACTTGTTAGGATATCAGTTCATAGATTAACCTACCATAATGTCAACACATAGAAAAATATTTGTCAGTCAGAGAAACTTGTATTTTAGAAAGGATGAACAAAAATAGGGCTAGAACCAAGATTTTAGGGCTGGGGATATAGCTTAGTGGTAGAGCTCTTGCCTAGCATGCCTGAGGCGCTGGGCTCAAGCCTTAGCACTGCAAAACAAAACAAAATGATTCTATTTATTATAGGTAGACTGTTGCTGTGTGTAAGTTTTAAGGAAATATTAATATAACGTGAAACTCTTGAGGGAAATTTTGAAGTCTGAATGGCTTTACCTCTGGTCTTATGTGTAAAATTATTCATTTGCAGCATGGTTGGTTGGTATGAATATTGAAGTTGGGAGAGCTGGATTCTGGTCACAGCTTGGCAAATCACCACCTTTATGAGAGTCTTCTGGCTCATATAATGAAGATGATAATAAATATCCTACCTAGTCACAGATGTGTGGAATGCTCAGTGAGGTGGTAGCATTCTTTGGGAATGCTAATGTGCCATGGAAACATTAATCATTGAACTTTAGTTTTACATTGTTGTAAAATCACAACAGCTAGAATGGCAGGATGTAAAGTGAGGCATAGTTATTTATACTTATATTCCATAGTTTACTATGTAAAAATATCTGTGTTGAAATGGAAGGAACAAAACCTAGGCTTGATTAGGTAGAATGGAGACAGATTAACTGTCTTTTTTTGTTACTTTCTTTTTTCTCTTAATTTGTTTTCTCTCCCCCCTAATTTTCCAGGCAAAGAGTGTGTGCAGCAGTTAGCTGAAAATACCAAGTATTTCAGGAGACGCCTGAAGGAGATGGGCTTCATTATTTATGGAAATGAAGATTCTCCAGTGGTGCCTTTGATGCTCTACATGCCAGCCAAAATTGGGTACGTTTTCTCCCAGGTTGGGCTGGCCTCTCATTCAACTGAAGGCATCTGTAATACGAGGCTGGAACTTACGTAATTTGTTAGGGGAAATTGTCTTATCCTTACTGTGTTAACCTTTACTTATTAGATATGCTGTAGTTGACAAAGTGGATACCAAATAGCAAGATGTGTTAACTTGTTATCTTTCATTAAAGAAACATTTGAATTTGATGCTGCTTTCCAGGTGCTTGAATAGATCGTTACCCTAAACACAAACATTGCTTACCTTGTGGAGCTTATATTCTAGTGGGGCAAGAGTCAGACAAACATAATAAATAAGTTATATGGTGTACTGGCAAGTGTTAGGTGCTGCAGGAGAAAATCGAGCAGGCTACACATGGGGACTGAGTGCCCTGGCGTGGGCAGGTAACAGTTTCTCAGGGGAGCCTCTGTGCAACGTGATGGCTGAGCAAAGGCCTGAAGGAGCTTAGAGCCACTTGGAGAAAGTAGCATCTGTGCAAAGTCCACGTGCAGAAGCGTGTGTGTCAGTGGAAGAGGAGCCAAGCGGTCATGGGAGCTAAAGGACAGGGCCCGAGGGGAACATGGGCTGGGAGGTCAGGGCGTGTTACTGGATATCTAGCAGGTGTGCACATTACAACAGCTTCTTCGGTTTGTTTGAATCATACATAATGGACGGCCTCACCCTGGGAGAGCTTTCAGTGTATTTGAGAAGTCCAGATGTGCAATGAAACCAGACGATATTTAAAAAGCAAAGGAATAATAATTATGTTCAGTAATCATATTGAATAAATATAATTATACACAAGTAGTTTTTGTGAACTAGGAGGTTAAAGAAAATGATTAGAAGTCCCCAGTGCCTCACCACCATCCAATGCTTACTTTCAAGACAGCAAGACCTTTGCACTGTATGCTTTAATGTCCATCTTCACTTCTTTCCCTCTTGTTGCCCTTTGCAGCGCCTTTGGGCGGGAGATGCTGAAGCGGAACATTGGTGTAGTTGTGGTTGGATTTCCTGCCACCCCAATTATTGAGTCTAGAGCCAGGTTTTGCTTGTCGGCAGCTCATACCAAAGAAATACTTGATACGGTAAGTAAACACTTCCACCTTGGTATAAACATGCCTTATATGAAAGAGCCTCTGTATGTCAGATGAAATTAAGCATCTGTTGATCCTCATGTTCTTTGAGCACCTAAAATGTTTACTGGTAAGACAGCAGTGGGTACAGTGCTACATGAAACTGCCATTTACAAAAAATGTAAGAATCTATAGCATCCTCACCAGACCAGCATCATTGGAGCTCTGGAGAATTTTCCAGCTTCAACTCATACCATTCTCTCTCTCATTATGGACTCTGTGGCTATAAATTGTCTTTCTACTCCAGCTATTTCTGCGTTTTTTTGTTGTTGTTTTATGATCTCTTAATTTTGTTTTCATCTGTTGATACTGTGCCCCTTTGCTTTTGTATTTTGAGGCAGGGTCTAAGTTGCCCAAGCTAGCCTCAAACTTGCAATCCTCCTGCCTGAACCTCCTAAAGAGCTGAAATCACGGGCACGCACCACCATGCTCAGCTTGATACTTTTTTTTTTGGTACCAGGGATCGAACTCGGATCCTTCTGCTTGCAAGGCAGGCGGCGGAACCACTGAGCTAAATCCCCAGCCCCTTGATACTCTCTTAATATGCTGTTATTTCACATCTAAGATTTCAAGAATTTAGATACTGCTTTCTGGGTTGAGGGTATAGCTTAGTGCTGTAACACATGCAGGCCCTGGGTTCCATCCCCAGCACTCCCCTGTCCCCCAAAAAAGTATGCTTTTCTGAGAATAGAAAGCTTTAGGTCATAACATTTGAAAAGTTTCTAAAAAAAAATACATTAATTCATTGGAGATGAAATCTTAAAGAATATCACAAATGACTTTATTTTTTAGAATGACAGTTTTTAAAAGTTCAGCATAGGGCTGGGGATGTAGCTCAGTGGTGCCACCGCCTGCCTCGCAACCGCAAGGTCCCGAGTTCAAGCCCCAGTACAAAAAAAAAGTTCAGCATGATTTGATAATTTAGTATTTATGAATAACTGGAGATTTGACTTTTCTTCCTTGTTTCTACACAGTAAAACTTCTAAAATTAAGAGTATCATCTTTTCTTTTAAGTAATTATAGTAAGAAGACTTGAGATCAACAATTTTTAAGTGAACAGTATAGTACTGTAATATTAACTATAGGTACAATGTTATATGTGTATATATTCTTTTTTGTTTTGTTTTTTGCGCTTTTGTTGTTTTGTTTTGAGACAGGGTCTCATTCTATTCTGTAATTCAGGCTGGCCTTGAACTTGGGCTGTCCTCCTACCTCAGCCTTCTGAGTTCTGAGATTACAGGTGTGCACCACCACACCTGGCCATGTGAGGTATTCTTAATCACACTTCTGACCTTATCAAATTAAATTCAGTTTATTAGTAGAGTATCTTTGTTTTTATTTTGATTTGCCCTTCAGATATTTTAAATATTTTCCCTTTTCTCAAAAATCTTAATGATAAACTGGGCTTGGTGGCACACCCCTGTAATCCCAGAACTTGGGAGGCTGAGGCAGGAGGATCATTGTGAGTTCAAGACCAGCCTGGCCTACATAGCAAGATCCCGTCTCAAAAAGGAAAAAAAAAGAAAGAAAGAAAGCTGACTAGTAAATTTCTGGGGCCAGGGATTTAGCTCAGTGGTTCTGCTGCCAGGCACAAGGACCTGAGTTCAATCCCCAGTATCAAAAAAAAAAAAAAAAACTAATAAATTTCTGCACTGATTTTTTGTTTGTTTGTTTTAATTTTTTTTTGTTTTGTGCTACTACACCTAGCTCACTGATTTTTTTTTTTAACTCAGTGATTTCAGGTTTTTTTATTCTCTATAACAAAGCCCCCCCATCTCAAATATAAACCAAAAACTTGTCTGAAAAATATGGTATGGAGTCAGAAGAGCTCTTATAATCTAGGTCCCCTTTGACTACTGTGGCTTTGTTTTGGATTCTTTTCTATTTCTAATCTTTTTCTACATTAATGAAAAATGTAGGTTCTTCTGAAGTCAGTGTTTATAAATGTCCTTTTCTTTGTGATCTTACTAAGTCATGTGGATTTTTGCTTCAATAAATCTGTATCAGAGGTCAGGGGAATAAATGGTTAATGGATTCCCCCAGTGGAAATTTAGCCTTAATTGTTTCCATATGGAATTTTCAGTTAAACCTCTTCACAGAGATACCTCTGTTCTGATAGCATATTGAAGCCTAGCTCTTATTTTATGTTTTTCACATTTAGAAATGATGAATTTTTTTTCCTTATGCTGATATGTATAAGTAATACTACTAATGCTTTTTTCTTTTTTTTTCTCTTTCTCCCTAAACATTGATTTTTAAAAATTAAAGAACAGGTGAAATTGTCTTTATACTCATAATCATCTCTGAAATACAAGGTATACATTCTCATACAGAATTATAGCTATACGAATAACAGGTTTATGCGATATCAGAGACTTGAGTCACACACAAGCAGTTTGTTCACTTTCCTCCAAGCATATCATACTTTGATGAATTTTACCCTTTATGCTGCATACCTGGCTATTCATGACCCATTATTCACAGACATCTGACAGCCTTGTTCAAAAGCAGCTCTGTCCATGGCTGTACATAATCTGATCTGAGTAAATGCACTCAACACACGCCCACCTGTGGATAACCTTGTCGGGATTGTTTTCAGGCCAGAAAAGTCTAAGGTGTGCCTGCATTCTTCTGGCCCTGACTGCTTTGTCTTGTCTGTCTTAGGCTTTAAAGGAGATAGATGAAGTTGGGGACCTATTGCAGCTGAAGTATTCCCGTCATCGATTGGTGCCTCTACTGGACAGACCGTTCGACGAGACAACTTATGAAGAAACGGAAGACTGAGCCTTTCTGGTGCTCCCTTAGAGGAACTCTCCCTCACCCAGGACAGTGTGTGGCCTTTCTGAGCCAGGTCTAGGAACCACACTTCTGTGGTCACCTCACATCAAAGGCATTTCCTCAACTACTGAAGGTGGCCACCCTGTACTCTTTTGTAAATACTCAACTGCTTGACTTCCTTCCTTTGCTAAATCTTACCTTTTAAAGAGGAAGTGACTTGCTTTGTCCATTAAAAAGCATTTTATTTTATATCTATTCTACTTGTGAAATCCCGCTGACCCTATCTTATCTGGCTAACCACATAGGTATTTCCCTCTCCAGCCACCTCGAGGGCTTGGCCCCTTGGCTGTCCAGCCTTGACTCACCAGCCCTCCTCCTCAGGGAGCAAGTGCCTTCCACTTACTTCCATCAGGTGTCAGAGGTTGTCCATCTTGGAACCCTTATTCAACCAGTCATATAATCAACTAAAGTATTCTCCCTTCAGTCTTCAGTTCAGCCTTTGAAGAAAAACAGTAAGCAGTAACAGTGCTGAGCAGGTCATGTGTAACTCCTCCTGGCCAGGGGTCTCTCTGGTCACCAGATGATTTCTTCCTTCACTATCAAGTATGTCTTCCTATGGTCACAGTCTGAGGGTATGCCCAAATTTTCTGTTCTTCCCAACCTGTGATCATAATACCTCCAACCTCCTACTTGAAATAGTCAACGTTTTAGAAGTACCTACGTCCCACCAAGGATAGACATCAGTGGTAAAAATTCACTGTTACTATTTTGTGTATAAAGCTTCTCAATAAATGTTGGGCATTCCTGGTGGGGTAAGGGGCAGGCGCACTGTGGAAAGAATTGATTATTTGCAGAATGTCTGTGATCGTGTTTCTATCTCTACTTTTCAAAAATTATGATAGCTTCTGGTGAGACTTGGGTCTAGATTTGGATTCAGACTGAAAAAGGAAAATGTTGGTCATTCTTCTGCTCAGAAATGATTTATCATGTTCCTATTTCAGGATTAGAGTTAACTTAGTCCTTTTAGAAGCTGATGCACTGACCTCTTTCTGAGTGGTAAATCCTATTCCTGATATCCTGACATGATCTTGACCTGGCCAGTAGGGCTAAAGTCTCCCTGTGCTTCCATTATGTGTTTTTCCCTCAGAAAGTCCAATCACATTTCTCTTTCCTAAACTAGAATATCCTCTATTTGGATTCTGTGTTCATACTATAACCAGGTAAAGGTGACTTTCAGAGAGCTTTATACCGCTTGACCAAAGAACATACTGAAACTCACCACTTTGCAGTTGTTATTTTTTTCTTTTTACCAAAGCTTAAGTGAAGCAAACTTTTGGCTTTATTGTACCCAAGATCAGCTTGTCTTTTAGTGGCCATCAAGTATTATTGGGAACAGAATGAAAAAAACGATGTATAAAAGTAGTTTTTCACATTTCTCTTTTTGAAATTGCACCTTTGATTGGTAAAGATTCCCAGTCCACATTCTTCTAGGCATCTTGTCATCAGCTGTGGAATGTTTGTGCAAATACATGTTGTGGAGGATGTAAGCAATATTGTTTGTGAAATTTTGTTTCCATGTCCTGCATATAAAAGTTATCTTTAGGGGCCGGGGATTTAGCTCAGTAGTTCCACCGCCTGCTTCACAAGCACAAAGACCCAAGTTTGATCCCTGGTACCAAAAAAAAAAAGTTATCTGGGCTGGGGATTTAGCTCAGTGGTTTCGGCTGCCTGCTGCACAAGCGCAGGAACCTGAGTTCGATCCCCAGTACCAAAAAAAAAAGTTATTTTTGGTCACTCTCAGCATCTGAGAGCTTAAGTCCTTGAGATATTCCAAGGTTTTATATCACTTTTTTGAAGAACATAAAAGGGTGAGAAAAAGAACCAAGAAGAGATACAGGGATTATATTTAGCATGTACATGTTAAAGTTACTAGGCTGAGGTAACTAAGTAACTAGTCCTGTAAAATAAAATACACTGCTAACTTTCCCGTGTGTCTAGCTCCCCACTGCAGAATCCTACTGGAATACCAGGTAGCTTTGGCACTGCAGTTACTATTTAATGGTGTATATGTAGGCTTATAAAAGTCAAAGATTTTAAGCAATGAATTTACCTGCTAGTCTTTTTAACTTGCATGAAGTCACTCCAAATTAAAATTTCATTGGTGCAAAATTATTTCAGAATCAATGGTGAGTTACAAGTTTATTTCGAAGGGACAAAACTCCTGTGACCATCCAGGACCTCTGAACTCTCTAGAAGAGAAAATGTTATACATAAATATGGCCAGTTGTCTTTTCTTGAAACTGTAATGTAAATCTGAGTCCAGTCATATTATAGGCATCATTAGCTAAGTTCTTAGGGAAACACAAGTATATATGAATAAGTCATGAGAATGAGTAGATACCTGAGGCATAAAAATACTGCTTAGTACAGTTTATTTTCCAAAATAAAAATACCTTTTTTCTTTTCATATAATAAAATGATACACATTATAAAATGTGTTTAGTACAGTTTAACATGACCTGATTCAAGAATCTGGTGAGATTAAAACATGTATCAATCATCACTGCCAAACTTGATAACCTGAGTGGATCAATAGAGATGTGACTAATTCTCACATTTTCTCACTCTTTGTATTTACCATTGCTTTTATTCATTCCCAGTTTATGAGACCTCTTTCAGTAGATCACATCAATAAATGCATAGCTAGGAAACATCAAAATCCCATACAAAGAGTGGATCAACTGGTTTTTGCGTTTCTTCTCCAATCTTTATTTTAAAAGCTTTAACCTAGCAGTACAGGGATTTGAGGGCACCTTTTTAAACTTTTTTCTTTGCTTCAGGTTTTTGGTGTGTTTTTGGTACCAGGGATTGAACCAGGGTCCTTGTGCTTATGCAGCAGGTGGTAAAACTACACTGCTAAATCCCCAGCCAGATTGTTCTGTTTTTAATCCCCTTCATAAAGAGATTCCAGTCTCTAGAACCCTGTGTGGTGCTTGTTTGAGGAGTCCTGCCATCTTAGTCCTTTAGTTACTACCTTAAGTTCTCATGAGAGGGTGAGGGTTCTAAATGGTCAGAACTGGTTTCTTCATATGTAGTCACAGGTGAACAGGAACATCCTGCATCCATGCTAAGGGCTCTGCTTTTGCCCCATGGCTCTTTCAGATGCTAAGGAACTTTTCCCAGTGATTTAGCTCTGTAATCCCTCCCTCCTTCACTTGTCCTTTTTTATCTTCCAGTTACTGATTTTTAGAATTTCAGCTCCAGAGAAAACTGATGTATGATGATCCTGTCCTTCAAGGATCAGTAGTTCAGAGCCCTGGTTCTCTGTCCATTCAGCCTTACATTTCAGGAGGAGATCAGGAGCAGTATTTCATCCCTCCTAATTAAAGGAGCCTGTATCTAAGTTTCTCGTGGATGATATGATCTAGCTAGATTTTCTAGTGTATAATACACTTTGCTTCCTACCTATTAGTAAAACCGGGAGGAAGAATGGCTCACTTGGAAAGATTTCCTGACTTCCCAGGGAAGGGGGAAAAAATGATGGGATTTACCACTACCTCCCTGTTTTTCTCTTCCAAATCAGTGAAGATGTCTGGTCCCCAGTGATACTGAATAGGCATATTAGGGTAGAACTGCTGGTCACACCTAGGCAATGAAGAAAGAGAATCTGGCTAATTCTTTTTTTGTCTGGATTTGTAACATTGTGGCAAAAGTACCTAGAAAAGACTAAATGCAATTGTTCTGTTGTATGAAGAATTATTGTGACCTAATTCCCAGGCTGCCTTTCCTCTTCTGGTGTTTTCTAGGTAAACCACAAAGGGTTTAATCTGTATTTGCTTCCAATGCTGGTTAGAAAAAGAGGGAGAGGGCTGGGGATTTAGCTCAGTGGTTTTGCTGCCTGCTGCTCAAGCGCAAGGACTTGAGTTCCTTCCCCGGTACCAAAAAAAAAAAACAGAAAAAGAGGGAGAACAGTGGTTTTCCTTTTCTAACTACCTACATTCATGAAGATCAGAATTGTTGAGCATTTTACACAGGTAAAATCAGTCCAAAGGGGCTGGAGATGAGACGTAGGAAAATCAAAGATTCTTTCTAGCTGCTTAGCCAAGAATCTATTAAAAAATTTTTCAAGCCCCAGAATCTATAGATGTATGGTTTTCTGCTTAACATGGAAGCCCAGTGCCCAGCAGGCATCTTAAACCCTTTAGGGCAGTTAGTCAAAACACCTTCCATGTGGAGAAAAGCATGTCCCTTCCTCTTCTCTGCTTTATCCACATGAAATTCTTGCTCGGGCTCCAAGCCAGTTGCCTGTGTCCAGCCAGATAGCTGAAGTAGAGGGCTGGCACCCTCCTCTATCACACAGAAGAAATGCTAGTTCTAGGCAGTGACCCCTTGGCTTTACTTGTGTACAAAATGCTATTGTTCCTTTTGTGATTTCCAGTGATTTGTTGTCCAAGGGACTGTTTGCTCTAGATTTAGTCTTCTGGGAAAGAAACAAAAGGGGCTGGCTTCAGCCCCTCGTGGAAGTGATTAGTCTTTTGACTTGCATCTGGAGATTATACATCCATGGTCCACCCTCGCAAGGTGGCTTGGGGGGAGCCATGGACAAGGTTTTGTTTACTATATAGTACACATGACAAATGGCCTTAAGCTGTTATTCTTTCTGGTATGATGAGTTGTAATAAACTGACCCTAAAGAACACAGTGGTTCTTACGCTGCAGTTACTGTGTTCTTGATGAAGCAAAACCCAAAGCTCTGTTCTTCTAGTGCTGTTCTGGGAGGTTGAATGAAAGGTTGTTGTAGCTTTATGTCTATTTCATTGCCATTGTGTGAAGAAGTGAATCTTTCCATGCACAAGGAGACTTGAGCCAACTCTGAGTTTGCTTTTCCAATACAGTTCCCAGGTTTCTGTGCAAAGCTCGGTTACTTGTCCTAGGCCAGGGATGACAAACCTTTTAGAGCCTTCAGTGAGAGCAGCCAGCCTGCTATGGCACATGTGGCATAGGTTCGTCACCACTGGTCGAGGCCTTCCGAGAAAGCAGGGGACATACCACTGACTAGGGTGGAATGATAACCCATCTTCACCCTTAACGCTGTTTGTTACCTCAGGATTGTATACTCAGTAGCTGGAATTACAAAAAGCTTCCTTGCTGGGGCTTCACAGAACACTGGAACTGGAAATCACCCCGTCAGTCCAGCCTGCATACCCAGTCTTGATGATCCCTCTCTGTAGAAAGGCAGCTAACAATAAGAGAAGGGGGAAAGAGGTAGAAGACAGCAGTGCTTATGGGAGAGCTGAGGTCTTATTTTGTTGATCTATATTTTTCCACTGACCAAGTTAACTTGTCAATGACTTTGCAAGGTGTGCTGTGATGTTAACTCCTTCCATTGCTGTAATGTTAGTATAATCTGGGAAAGTGAGTAAAGGAGAAATGTAAATAAAATTTTTTAAATTTTGGTAATGTGTTAAAATGTCACTCTTTCTCCATTACCCTGCCTTCTTGACAGATGATGATTTTTTATTTTTATTTTTTATTGGATGTCTGTGAAGTGGATTGGGGATCAGTGTATCAGTTTTCAGAACACATGTTAAAGAACTAAAGAACTTCTTAAGATGACATAAGAATCATCTCATGCAGATATATTGATTTGTCCTAATAAAGCATTTACAAAGATACATCTGCCTTTAGTCATTCAACCAGGAAACATTAAGAGTTATCTCTGCCAGTTGGAGTACCAGTCACCACCAGTAAAGTTAGGGACAAATAGATATGGTCCCTACTTCCTAATTAACAAGTCATTTTACGAACTGCTAAGGGTTATGGAGGAAAAATAAAGAGTATGATAAAGGATTGTACCAAAGCAGGGCATAAGGGCCCATGCCTTCAATCTCAGTACTTTGGGAGGCTAAGGCAGGAGAACCACAAATTTAAGCCCTGCCTGGGCAACTTAGCAAGACTTGTCTCAGAAAAAGGGCTAGGGGGGTGGGGATTTAGCTCAGTGGTTCCACCACCTGCCTCGCAAGCACAAGGTCCCGAGTTCGGTCCCCGGTACAAAAAAATTTTTCTTTTTGAAGAAAGACCTGGGTAAGCAGAAGTGGGAGCAGTAAGGCCACCAAAGAGGTGGCAGAGGCTGCTGCACTGACTTCATGGGGTGGGGTGAGGCATTGCTCGTACTATAGGGAAAACCAGTGAAAAGTTTAAGCATTGGAAACTGTCACCTCTGGCAGGATTTTCTGTAGATACTGACAAGTTGATAAAATTTCCATGGTAGTAGTCAAAACAATTTTGAAAACAATGACATTACCCAGAGACTTTGGATAAAGCTATAGTAATAACGGTGTGTTGCCATTGGGGTAGTCATGTACATCACTTAGACTAATAAGAGCCCAGACACAGACCCATGTGTACATGGTCAGCTGACTTAACAGGTTCCATTGCAAAATTTACAGGTATTGCAACTAATGGTTCTGGAGCAACTAAATATGGGGAGAAATGGCCTTCAACCCTTATATACAATAATTAAGTCATAGATCTGAACATAATAAAAACCATAAAACCTCTAGAAGGAAACAAAATCTGATTTTATGGAATGATTCTTAGGACAAAGAACAGGATTCAAAAGAAAAAATCAACAGATTAGACTTCATCAAATTGAAGACTTTAATGCAAACTCCAGACTGGAATAAAATATTCACAGTATGTATGTCTGATAAAGGCTTTACATCCAGAACATGAAAGAACCCTTAAAACAAGTCCAGGGCTGGGGATTTAGCTCTGGTGCCACCGCCTGCCTTGCAAGTGCAAGGTCCTGAGTTCAATCCCCAATACCAAAAAGAAAAGTTTGTTTGATAAAAATAAGGGAAAGATTTGAACAAACACAAGGTATAATAATGGCCAATGAGCACGCGAAAAATGTCCATAATCACTAATCATCTAGGAAATGCACATGAAAACTACAATGAGATCCTTCCTATGGTGGCTAAAATTTAAAAGAATTATATTAAGTGTAGGCACCTGGAGTTCACACAGATTACTGGTGGACACAGCCATGTGAAAAAAATTGGGCAGGGCTGGGGATTTAGCTCAGTGGTTCTGCTGCCTGCCTTGCAGGTGCAAGGTCCCAAGTTCAATCTCTGGTACCAAAAAAAAAAAAAAAATTGGCAGATTTGGGGAGGAGTGTTTGTTTTTGAGACAGGGTCTCACTATATAGTCCAGACTGGCCTTGAACTTGAGATCCTCCTACCTCAGCCTCCCGAGTGCTGGGAATACAAGTGTGTGCCACCACATCCAGCTAATTTGGCAGTTTTCTGACAGTCATTCTATACACTGGTATTTATTTAACCAAGAGAAATGAAAGCAAGCCTACATGAGGACTTAGACTTGACTATTCATAGGTGCTTTATTCATAATAGACCCTAACTGAAAACAACCCAAAACCATTATAGTAAATGGATAAATTGTACTGTACCCATCTGGTGGGATATTACTTATCAGTGAAAAGGAACAAACCACTGACACAAAATGGATGGATCTCAACAATGCAGAGGAAAAAAGAATACATAAATGTTTCTGCATTGACATGAAATTCTAGAAAGGGCAATACTAACCTATAGTGACAGTGAGATCAGCTGTTGCCAGGAGCCAAGGTTAGGTGGTGAGGATTAACTAAACAGGGATTTTTAAAAAATAATTTTCCATTATCTCAACCTAATTAAAGCTATCTATGAAAAACCAACAGCCAACATGATGCTAAATGGTCAAAAACTGAAAATTTTCACAGTAAAATCAGGAACAAGACAAAGATGCCCACTATCACCACTCCTGTTCAATATAGTTCTGGAAACATTAGCCACAGCAATTAGACAAGAGAAAGAAAGAAAAGGAATAAAGATAGGAAAGGAAGTTAAACTGTCATTATTTGCTGACAATATGATACTTTACATAGAAGACCCAAAAAACTCTGCCAAAAGACTTCTAGACTTAATCAACAGATTCAGTAGAGTAGCTGGATACAAGGTCAACACTCAAAAAACAATAGCCTTCTTATACACAAATAACAAGACTCACTGAGAGAGAAATTAGGGAAACAATTCCTTTTACAATAGCATCCAAAAATATGAAATATCTAGGAATCAACCTCACAAAGGAAGCAAAAGACCGCCACACTGAAAACTATAGCAATCTGACAAAAGAGATTGAAGAGGATACAAGAAAACAGAAAGACATCCCTTGTTCCTGGGTAGGAAGAACCAATGTAGTGAAAATGGCCATACTTCCAAAACTGCTATATAGATTTAATGCAATGCCGATTGAAATTCCAACAATATATTTCACAGAACTAGAGAAAACAATCCAAAAACTCATTTGGAGCCAGAAGAGACCTAGAATAGCAAAAGCAATTCTAGGTGACAGAGATATGGCAGGGGGTCACAACCCTCAACTTGAAACTATACTACAAAACTATTGTGATAAAAACAGCATGATACTTGCAAAGAAACAGACCTGAGGATCAGTGGAATAGATTAGAAGATGTAAAAACAACTCCAGACATCCTCAGGCACCTCATCTTTTCTTTGGTACCAGGGATCAAACTCGGGTCCTTGCACTTGCGCAGCAGGCGGCGAAACCACTGAGCTAAATCCCAAGCCCCCAACCACCTCATCTTTGACAAAGGAGCCAACTACCCTCACTGGAGGAAAGATAGCCTATTTAATAAATTGTGTTGGAAAAACTGGATTTCAACCTGGCAAAGATTAAAACTAGACCCATATCTTTCACTATGCACTAAACTAAGATTGAAGTAGGCCTGGGGATTTAGCTCAGTGGTTCCAGCGCCTGCCTCACAAGCACAAGGTTCCAAGTTCGATCCCTGGTACCCAAAAAATAAATAAATAAATAAAATTTTTAAAAAAAAGATCGAAGTGGATTAAAGATCTAAATATTAAAACAGCAACACTAAACTTTCTAGAAGATAAATAGGTAGAACTCTTGAAGACAATGGCGTAGGAAAACACTGTGAACAAAACCTCAGTAGCACAGGTACTAGCACAAAGAATCAACAACTGGGATCTCATCTTATTAAAAAGATTCTGCCCTGCAAGAGAAAGCACCAACAGAGCTAAGAGACAACCTGCAATGTGGGAAAAAAATTTTATCAGCTGTACCTCAGAAAAAGGACTACTATCTAGAATATATAAAGAACTAAAAAAAAATCAGACCCCCCCCCAAATTTAAAGACCCAATTCAAAAATGGGCATCTGAAATGAACAGAAATTTCTCAAAGAAGTAAAAGCAGCAAATAAACATATGAAAAAATGTTCAACATCACTGATCATTCGAGAGATGCAAATAAAAACAACACTGAGATTCCACCTCACCCC